CATTATCAGGTTATTGGCGACAAGAGTGGGCGATCATGTCTCTCCACAACCTGCAATCTCCAAATGCATGTATCAGTTCATGTATTGATACCCCTCCATGCCATGACAGAAGGCTGCAAGGAATCTTATCGCATTGACTTTCTAAATCTCTCTACCTTCCAGTGGTCACAGTCCATTGTCCCTCTTCTCATAACATGACTAGAACAGAAAGTGATGACCGACTATTTAGGATGTTTGCGAAAAGTGTCTCCGACTCCTCGTCTCTGTCATAAACACCCGGGTAGCTCTTTTTGGCTGTCTGATGAATTTTAAGAACTATTCTGTAAAACCACATCTCCAAGGCTTATATAAATTGTCTTGTTTATTAATTTTCCAATATTCACAGTAATATGTTTAAGCTGACTCTATAATGGCATGCGGAAATCATTTCCCTAACATCAAATGACATTGATTTATTGTAAAGATGTTCTTCATTTTATAAAAGGCAGTTTTTGCCGCTTCTGGTCGATTCGTAATCTCTGTGACAGATATTTTCAGTCTGTGTTATCTATGTGCCTAGATACTAAGTTTCATAAGTTTGTCATAATATAACGTCTTTGACTTTTATCATACATTTAGGCAAAGCTATTATCTTAGATATAATCGTTACCCATGTCTTCACATTATTCAAGCTAAGGCCCATTCTTTCGATCAGTACCACTAAAGTATCTATCAATTCTTGAAGCTTTTTATCACTTGTCGGTATCAAGATAGTGTCATCAGCGTAACGTAGGCTGTTTATGTTATGACCACCAACCATAATTCCTAAATCAGACCACCGCTAACTTAACTATACAAGACTTAGTTATAAATGATACTATTGGATCACCGCCAACTTAACCATACAAGACTTAGTCATAGTTGATACTATCGGACCACCGCTAACTTAACCATACAAGACTTAGTCATAAATGATACTTTCAGACCAATTGTGGAAACAACAACTTGCATCACATTTATGGAGAAGCATAAGTATTGTTCCAACTTCAAGGCAGACTGGTCATTCCATTTTTGCACCGTCCCTGTGCCAGGGAAAAAGCCATGGAATGTCCATTGCTGTTCCTAGTGATGAACTTGAAACATTTAATGTGTAACTCAGCCGTTAGAAGTGCTAACACAAAGGATCTGCCACAATAATTGCAGTTCATCGTCTGTGGAAGCAGTGAATATAAGAGATATGCGTTGCCACACCAGTTCTGTGGCAACAGGCTAATCGTCACTTTCTTTCTGCATCTAAAGTTTACAATACAAACCAGACTGGGCACTGTCAAAAATATTCTAAACTGAATCTGAAGCTCATAAAAAATGGTCAACTAGTGTGGTCATCTAGTTAGAATGCAGACACGATTACCAAAGCGGACCTCACATCTGACAAAAATCATGTGAAGGCAAGATGGCACTAAAGGAATGTGGACTGATGACATTAAAGAGATATATATCCACTAGAAATGACAAAAGTCCTGGTCTTTCATGATATATTTTGGCAACAGTCTTCTATGATATATGTGGCAACAGCCTTTTATCATTTTTGTGGCGATAGTTTGCTATAATATATGTGGCAACAGTCTTTCATAATATATGTGGCAATATTCTTCTATGATAAATGTGGCAATAGTCTTGTATGATTCATGTGGCAACAGTCTTCCATGATATATGTGGCAACAGCCTTTTATGATAATTGTGGCAACAGTCTTCCATGATAAATGTGGCAACAGTCTTCCATGATAAATGTGACAACAGCCTTCCTTGATATAAGTGGCAACAGCCTTCTATGATATATGTGGCAACAGTCTTGCATGATATATGTGGCAACAGTCTTCCATGATATATGTGGCAACAGTCTTCCATGATATATGTGGCAACAGCTTTCTATGATATATGTGGCAACAGTCTTCCATGATATATGTGGCAACAGCTTTCTATGATATAAGTGGCAACAATCTTCCATGATATATGTGGCGTCAGCCTTCTATGATATATGTGGCAACAGCCTTGCATGATATATGTGGCAACAGTCTTCCATGATATATGTGGCAACAGTCTTCCATGATATATGTGGCAACAGTCTTGCATGATATATGTGGCAACAGTCTTCCATGATATATGTGGCAACAGTCTTCCATGATATATGTGGCAACAGTCTTCCATGATATATGTGGCAACAGCCTTGCATGATTTTGTGGCATCAGTCGTGCATGCTATATGTGGCAACAGTCTTCCATGATATATGTGGCAACAGCTTTCTATGATATATGTGGCAACAGTCTTCCATGATATATGGGGCAGCAGCCTTCTATGATATATGTGGCAGCAGCCTTCTATGATATATGTGGCAGCAGTCTTCCATGCTATACGTGGCAACAGTCGTCTTCAGTCCCACTCAACCTAATATGAACATAAATAAATCAGGTATCAAATAATTACAATGCATCGCAATCTGCAGATCTGTCATCAGCCTGTACTGGACGAGAATAAAGGGCACTGTTTACGTTACTAGCTAATGGAGCATCTGACGCTAGACTCATATTTGATATACCAAACAGAACTTCTTAAAGGGGTCGTCAATTTCACGCCAGCCGCTTTTACTTCCGTCGACATTACCTGGTACCCATTGTAGGCTTGGTCAACCTAGAAAGGAAGGTCAAATAAAAAAAATAACGACCTAATGTGGATTTGAACCAAGATGTGGGCCAGTGAGCTTTTCCCTCCCATAGTTTTTTGTTTGTGTTTTGAAGGGGTGGGTATCGGTAAGAGAAAGTGCCTGGTTAGGTTAGTTGCGTATCCTTTACAGGACGTTGCAGAACCAACCCCAACAGCCCAGGCAGTTCTGCGGTTTTTCGAGGCAAATTTACATCCAGTAGTTTGCCATTGCTTACTGGACGGTCGGCTTTCTTGATACCACTGTCGAAACCAAGGCAAGGCTCATGGCCCGCAGCTGGGATCGAACCCGGTATTACGGCATTACGAAGAAAGTGACTGAGCTCCCAGAAATATGCAATAGTCACAGTGATCCTGAAATCCGAAGCAAATATTATAAAAGACATTTCTGAAAGCGATCAGGTATGGCCAGTCACATTCATGATTGCCATGGATTGTGATTTCCCCACTGCCCTCTGGCTCATTTATAAAACATTTGACGCCCATCTTTCCTACTTAGAAAGACGGCAAATACTGTATACGTATTTGACACTTTGCGATCAAAAGAAAAACCTGGAAAAAAAAAACGTTGTATGTAAATTTTACGAAAGGTAACAGAAGACACGCCACTGTAACGCGGAGAACTTTATAAACTTTTTAATCTTATTGACAATTTCGGAATTCATTAGTGCAAACTTTATGTTGACAAACGATGAGATTTGGTTATGTACAAACACAAAGGGTCCGTCTACGCGTGTCCTTGGATGGCGGGGATGACAATAAAATGTTCGAGTCCTGAACGATGGCTGCCTGCGAGCCGACGATGTCACTCTAGGCTCCCATCTCGCTCTTCTCCCCCTGATATTGACAGTCAAGCCAGATCTGTCGATGTTATTTTCCAGAAGGTTTCAGGACATCAGGAGAACACAACCCATTGTGATAATCTCAGTTTCAGGTTTAGTCTCGACTTACTCGAGGTGCTTTTTGAGTGCAGTGTAAATGTAGCTCTGTATTCGTGTTGCCTATTTAAAAATCTAGTTTTGTGTAGAACAATAGTACATTAATGTTATTATAAAAATCACAGTGTTCTGTATAGAATTTTAGTTTAAATGTTCTGCACAGAAGAAATCGATGTGCTTTATTTGGAACTATACGTTACATGTATTGTAACGTGAGAATCTATATTCAAAATGGATACAGCTCTCTCTCTCTCTCTCTCTCTCTCTCTCTCTCTCTCTCTCTCTCTCTCTCTCTCTCTCTCTCTCTCTCTCTCTCTCTCTCTCTCTCCATTTGTGTGCGTGTGTGTTTGCAGGGCTACTTTCTGGTGGAACGTAGCAACGATATCTTTCTGTATGCACTAATTTTTTCGACGCTACTGTAACATATGCTTGGTGGTGAGTCTCGGTATTTTTAAAGCACTTTTGAGTTAATTGGAGACATCCATTTTCTCAAAAAAAAAGCCATGCAACACACATATCTTGAGAGTCGACTAATTTGAAATGTGCTAAAATCTTCTGTTGTAGGCATAAATGCGCAGATATCACCGCCTAGCTGTAGACCCCAGTTTGCCAAAAGCCCTCTCAAGGGTGAATGTGGAAGAAAAAAAAAGATTTAGCAGAAGAGGAAGAAGAAGAAGAAGAAGAAGAAGAAGAAGAAGTCAAACATTCCGAGAACTGGAAACTGCGTCATAAACATAACGCTGCCACTCCACAGGAAACATCTGCATGCGAAGTTGATCTGCTTATTTCCCCTGTCTCCTCATGCAACCGTACGCTACATATAAAGAGTAGAGTTTTGAAAGAAGTGGGACTTGAAACAGATAATATAACTGTCTATGCGCTATTGGATCGTTTCATAGATTTGATTTCCGGAGACTATATCGTTTCAGAGATTTGATTAGACATTTTCAGAGATCTGATTATTTGACAGTTTCAGAGATGTTTTTCTCGGATTTTACTGAATACTGTTTCTGACACTTATTTACTGGAGATTACATCGTTTCATAGACTTCACTCTTGATTGTTTCCGATATTTATTGAGAACAAAATTGTTTCATAGTTTTCATTTCCGCAGTCAGGAATCTTTAAGAGGTTTGAATCCCGGAGATAAGATTTGTTGAGACACTTGATTTCTTGAGACACAACTTTCACAGATGTAATTTTTGGAGAGAGATTTTTCACATACATTTGATTCGCTATTTCTTCATACACGATTGCTTTGATTTCAAGAGTCGCAGTAATTTTATAAATTTGATTCCTGAAGATACAGTACCGAGTTATTCAAGACAGAAACAGTAACGCCTTGACAGAAAACAAACAACCACAATGACGTGGTTTCAAGCGTTTCGGAACAACTATGGATTCACCTCGTATCCAGACAACAGGTCAATGGTCACTATCGACAAACCAGTGGTGACCGTCACGTATTTATGTGCTCTTCTTGGAATCGCAACCCTGATAGCTACACTGGGAATCAAGGGTCGTGAGGTAGGACTTTTGTCTGTTGTTTCATTTCAATTTGTTCATGTTGGGAGCCGCTGTGGTGTCGCGGCTAGACGCACGCTTGCAAATCCGAAGGTCGTGGGTTTAGATCCACACACAGCCGGGCTGTTTTCACAAATAACCGTGGCTCACAGATAAATCCAGCCTTAAATGGGTACGAGGTAAAGTCAAGGAAGGTAAAGGCAGCCGGCCTGATATTGACTATATCACCCACGAGTGCCGATTGGTCGGTAAAGTAAAAGTCTAGCCCACGATATTCCCAGTACTCATGAAGGCTTAGAAAAGCCTCTTTCACTTGTAGAGTAAAGATGAGGAACTTTCAGCCCACTGACCGTAAAAAGCCAAGAAATAATTTGCTTTGGGGCTCCCGATTCAACAGTTAAAAGAAACCTTACGATGTGCCGTCTTCACAAGAAAGGTTGGCTACAGCATACCCACTGCTGTCTTTGGGAATATTACGTTGGTAGGTCCCGATCTCTTCCACAACTGCATCTGTAGCTGTGGAGTTGCGAACGCTGGTTGTTATTCCGTATTACCCGGTTCGATTTCGACCGCGGACAACTTGGCAGCAAACCGCTTTTTGCTGATTTCGACATTGGTATCCAGAGCCGACCGTCAGTAGCAGCGGAAAACTACGTCACATAAAAGTTAAAACCACAAACAGCCAACAAATGATTGGGTTTGTTTGCAATGTCCTCTAAGGATTACAAAATGAACTGCAACACAAGAATAAGAAGTCTGACTCCTCTGTTGGTGCTTGGATGTTTCTCCTCTTTGCATTTTTCTGCTTGATACGGATGATTGTCGAAACGTTCGATTGTATATCTGCTCGTTTTCTTCTCCACCGTGCTACCGTCTGTTGGCGTATTGCTACCACTTCCCTCTGCTATTGTCTGTTGAGTGAGCCGCCGTGGTATAGTGCTTGGACGCTCGCCTGTGGATACGAGGTCATGTGTTCAGGTCCTGATGAAGACAGATTTCGAAACATCGAAAATGAAAATGGCTCCTAGGTCGAGCCAGCTTTACATGTGCACCAGGCAAGATCCTTGGAAGTAACCACGTCATAAACTGGTTGGTCTAAAAATATAGTTCTAGCACTATATGACTAATACGCTTAAAGGCGTAGGAAAATATCTTTAAGGAGGTAAAATAAAGTAAGTAAAGTAAGGTAAAGTAGGTAAAGTAAAGTAATGTAAAGTAGGCAAAGTAAAGAAAACGGCAATAAATAAAGTAGCATGAAGCAAAGTGAAGTAAAGTGAAGTAAATTGAAGTAAACTGAAGTCAAGTGAAGTAAGTAAATTAAAGTAAAGTAAGTAAAGTAAAGTAAAGTAAAGTAAGTAAATTAAAGTAAAGTAAAGTCAGTGAAGTGAAGCAAAAACAATTAAAGACAAGTTAAGTGAATTGAAGTAACGTAAGAAAATTTAAAAAAAAAAGTAAAGTAAATTAAGTAAACACAAGTGAAGTAAAGTAAAGTAAGTAAAGTGAAGTAAGTAAAGTAAAGTTCTAAAAACAGGTAAAGTAAAGTAAAGCAAAGTAAAGTGAAGTAAATTAAAATAAAGTAAAGTAAAACAAGCTAAGTACATTATATATATATGTATTTATTTTTTAAAGTAAAGAAACGTTAGTGAAATAAGTAAACTGAAATGAGTTTTAAGAAAAATAAAATAAGTAAAGTAAGTAAATTTAAGTAAATAAATTAAAGTAAGCAAATAAAATTAAGTACGCAAACTGAAGCAAAGTAGGTAAAGTAAAGTAAGCAAAGTAAGAAACCTTAGTACAGGAACATTTTCACCCAGCTGGGCATTTGATGATAGTTCTATGTTTGCATTGACCAGTCTGCATTCGATGAACTCACATATAAAGAAATACAATTCATTGATACATTCAGAATATATAACACTAAATTCATATCAGCGCCGTTGTATGACGCAGAACCATGGAAACTGACATGAAACAATTACTAAAAACTTCAAATAATAAAAAAACTGGTGTTTATAAAAAATATAGTAAATTATGTGGTGTAATAAAATCAGTAAAGCGAAGCTTTAAGAAATAAGTAAACAAGGTTGCGTTTGATAGGATACGCGTCAGAATAGCTGGCAATAGAGTAAGAAGAATGTTCTCTTATGAGAATTCACCGGGGGGGGGGGGGGGGGGGACAAAAGAGCTACAAGAGAGAGAGAGAGAGAGAGAGAGAGAGAGAGAGAGAGAGAGAGAGAGAGAGAGAGAGAGAGAGAGAGCGCGCGAACGAACTTTAGCTTCAAAGAGTGACAGATAGAGGGTGGGGCGGGGGGGGGGGGGAGAACAAACGCAAAAACGAGCTATTACAACACACGTTTTCATTCCGAGAAAGAGAATGCCTGTGACATAGGTTGCAGCCCTCTCTAGGGGGGTTGTGTTAGACCCAGTTTCTCCATGTTTTTGGGGTGTTAAAAGCGCTTGCGTGCTGCAATATACAACACGCGATATTAACAGCATTGCGGAACACTCCCGTAACCGTGTGCAAAGGTCACCAGGCTCAGGAACTACTAATCTAAAGTGAGCTAGTGTGTATAGTGTGTATATGGGCAAGGTCGGGGGGGGGGGGAAGTAACGTCACACTAACCGAAGAACTAAAACAAAAAACAATCTGTCTGCAAAATTACATAAAATATATTATGTAATCACCTTAAAGGCTTATTTAAAAGAAATTATACTAGGTCCCACAATTAAGTAATGAGACTAATTTCATTAAAAAATTAATCAGCAGCTGAGGATGTAACCTGTATTTGATTCAAGTTAAGCCTTTTGTGCATTGATACAGTGAGTGGCAGGCACTATCTAACAAACTCTGGAACGACCTCTGTAGTTCTTTTGTTGCTATGGCCCTTAAAGTCAATGTTACAGCCCCTTGGATGTTTTGAATATCATCAAAGAAGCGTCCTTTCAATGGTAACTTAAATTTTGGGAATAGAAAATAATCGCAGGGAGACAAATCTGGGGTTCCTGTTTTGAAGAAGTCTCATGGGTACTCAACCCGCTGATGTTTTTGATCATCAAACCGGCGAGCAACTTTTTTTTTCTTGCCAAAATCTTGCACTAAAATTTTACGAAGGGTCTCAATATAAACACCAGATTCATCTGCCATCATCATGCCAGTAGAACAACGATCTTCTTGTATCGGTTCTATGACTTTTGCAATGACTTCCTCGTTACAAACAGAAATTGGGCGTCCTGGTCTAGTTACATTAGTAATATTTTCCATACCACTTTTGAATCGTGAATACCACTTAAAAATATGTGCACCAGATAAACAATTATCCCCATGAACTTATCGCATCAATTCGACCGTGTCAGTGGGGCCTTTTCTGAGTTTTAAACAGAATTTAATGTTAGCTTTTTGCTCCCTGCTGATTAAGTAACAATGCACGTCTGTCTAGGTCAACAAAATGGCGGCTTGTTTGTTGTCTGCTTATCGTGCGGTGATGAAAAGTATCCAGATTATAAGTAAAGGTTGCCTCTTTAGATTCTATGCTTTGCTTCGTAGATGGCATTTTTGTCTTGGCCATAATAAAATTAGTCTCATTACTTAATTCTCGGACCTTGTATTTGCAAACCAAAAAATTGGAATTTATCGAGGCCTCTGTAGGTTGTGAGGACCCCAGTTGCAGCTTACTTCGTATGTTCCTAAATCCAGCACTGCCCCTAAGAACAATATAAAAATATATGAAACCACTTCACTCGACATTTCCATATCCTCCCCACACCGCGTTGTTATAAAATTTAGTAATTTCAAAATACTTAGAAGGTTTGAAAAATAAAGAATTATATGGCAAACTACTAGACGTAAATTTGTCTAGAAACACCACACAACAGCCAGGGGTTGTTGGGGTTGGTTCTGCAACGCCCTGTGAAGGATACGCAACTAACCTTTCAAATTATGTAGGTTTAAGGGACCTAATACAAAACGCTTTAAACTCTTGCTATTTATTTGAGTTAACTCCCGTAAATGTTTTCATAAGTGTGGTTGATAATTGCGGTTAAAAGTATGATTTTGTGTGAGTGTGACTGTACATGCCTGGGTATGTAAGAGTGTGTGTATGTAGGGTTGAATATGTGTATATATAAATATGTAGAAATATGTATGTGTATATATGCATGGGTGGGTATGCTTAGGTATTATGTGTTAGAATGCATATGTGTACATGAGTGTAAGTATGAGTGCTAGATGTATGAATGTGTGCGTGTGTATGTGTGTGTGTGTTAGTGTATGTATCAGTCTATGGGATTAGAGAACAAAGAAGTAAGGACTGGTTTGAAGCAAATAGCCAGACACTCCATCCTCAAAGACAATATTTCTCAGAAACAAGGAAAGAACAACAGTGAACAAACACTCTCATTGAATTAGGAACAGCTAGAAATCATTTGAAAAATATAGCTAGGCAGTGTGCTAACAACTATTGGATCTAGCTATGTGAAATCATTAAAAATGCTAGCAGTGATGGTAATGTTAGAAGCATGTATGAGGGAATCAAGAAGGCCATCGGTCCTACAATTAAAAAAGTGCACCACTAAGGAATTTGAATGGGTAGATTATTAATGACAAGAAGAAGCAGCTAGACAGATCGTGGAACATTATCTGGAGCTTTACTCAGTTGATTCTAAACTAGCAGATGGTGCTCTTAATGCCGTGGAGACGCTACCAACTCTTGACTATCTGGACACATTTCCAACGGTTGTAGAAGGTGGGAATGCTATTGATGAATTGGCTTCAGGGAAAGCCTCAGGCAGAGATGGAATTCCTATTGAAATCATCAGGAGTGGGAAAGACATTTTGACCCCACACATCCATCAACCAATAACACTCTGCTGGCAAGAGGGAGAGGGGCCGCAAAATTTCAAAAATGCAAACATCATAACTATTTACAAGAACAAGACTACATTAAATACAGGGGACTATCACTGCTGTGTACTGTTGGAAAAGTGCTCTCGGGAATTGTTCTGCG